TTATATATGAACTTGCTCTTTTATTTCTGCTATCATAACTGCAATTGCTCACTCAATGGCTGTGATGGTATGAATTTCCACATTTATTCACTCTCCTTACTTCACACCAAAAGGTTGTTCAAATTATAGGAATGACTCAGTTGACACAGTCCAAGAAAATATTTGTAACCTTTTAGGCCACAGCAGACTGGGCTTAAAAGCATAAGAAACAAACAGACTACCAGCTACAAATTGTCTGTTGTGAAGCAATCCCTTTTATGCTTTTCTAACATACTATGCTCCAAATAAAGTCTTGTAACTTTATAATCTCAAGAAGATTTATGAAAACAACCAAACTTCTTCTCACCAAACAATGCTGTATCTGTATTCAAGTTTACTTCTCTATAGAATTCAGCAGACAATATTTGGCACACTTTTGGGAACAATTCCATTAGAGGACTGTGGGGGCTTTTCCAGCTAGCATTAGAACAGTATTTTGGCTGTGTGATCAGATTATTTTCCCAGCAGAGGTTTTATGCCTGTCATGCATGAGTGTCATAATCTTAACACAGATTTTACATTTAAGTTTACCTTCCTCCCTCTTCCGCAGTATCCATGCAGCCTATGATACTTATCAGTTGCTGGCCTATAAATTCCTTTGTCATCAGGTTCTCAAAACAATTAAAGTCTTCTTTTTCTTCTTCACTGAGAACTGGCATATTTTGAATGTAACTGAATCCAAACAGTACAGATATAATTACATTCTGAATCATTGTTGGACTGTTAAAAACAAAAACAGCCACCCCAAACCAAACAGAACCAAAGAGCCAAAGACTCCCCCCCACCAAAAAATCCCACCACTTCCTTGTCCTGTATATACAAGTAGTTGTGTTAGTTGCAAAGCTTAAAGATTAATGTTTGTGTTCTCCTTTTCAGAGATTAATATTTGCAGGAAGTCATTCATCCCAAATAATGTACAGTTTAAAAATAATGCACTTCATTTTAAAAACTCCTTTTGTTTGAGAAGATAAAACAGTAAGAAACATAAAATGACAAGTTAAGCTTTACACATGTTTCAGTTCTGTACCCTGCATAAAGGCAGCATCTTAGGAATGAATGGATAATGCACCATTTTTTGTATTATTTTTCTGCATATTTAGGTACTATGCAATTTTTTTTACAAGTTCAGAAGTGTTATCTTGCCTACAAGACAAAATACAAGAAAAGCATGGAAGTGTAGAGTCGATTTTAAATTCTTTATCTGATCAAACATGTCACCACAGGAGGACAAGAATCTATTGTCAGATACACTCAGCAATATAACATGGCAAGTGTAATCAGCTTGCTGCATTTCTTTATTTTTCTAGTCACTCTTCTTTTATCAGAATTTTATCTACCAATGAGAGTATGAATGCTCAGAAAACCTGGAGTGAAACATATCATGTACAAAATCCAATACTGAACAGAATATAATAAAATACAATTCAAATATTGATATGAGCAGTGAAAAAGATGCTTTTTTTCTACCACAGCCTTGCAGATACTTTTCAGCAACAGCCTGTCATTTTTAGATTTTCAGCATTTCTTCAAAGTTAGAACAAAAACCTTGCACACAGCTAGTGTTTCATTCAATTCTGCCCCTCCTCCCTCTCCCCCACAAACAAAATCTTCTGTAATTGGCTCATTTAGCAGCTTTGTCTCTGCCTTCAAACATAACTTTTTGGGAAGCAGGCAAAAGAAAAGGGAATGAGGCGTCACTTTCAAAATTACTTCTCTTGGGGACAGCACCCAAATCTTACTTTATTATCACAAATTACAACAATGAAAACAATACCAGTTTCTGCAAGCTCTAAAACCTTTCTGCAGGCTTTTTGCAAACTCACAGCAACCTCGATAACAACAGGCACACAAAGGTTAGCTGTGTATTACAGAGCAACAACTTCTCATCTTAAATGACAGAATTATATGCTTGTGATCTATCAGTCCATTTGGCTGGTCACTCAGAAAAAAGGACATTCCAAAAACTGGTTTTAAATTAGCTGTTTGCAGGTTGTTTAAAACAAGTAAATCCTCACCCAAAAAAAAAATTTAATAAAAAAGGGGAAAAAATTAACAAAACAAAACAAAACAAAAAAAAAAAATCACAGTTCAAGTACAACTTTTAGGAGTCCTGAACAGTTGAATAAAAGAAATATTCTCTACTTTAAAAAAAAACCCACAAGTCTGCTTTAGTGGTAAGAGACTTATTTTGAAATGTAATGTACCTTAATAAGTAATCTGCATATACAGGTGGATCTGGTAATATCTGTTCCAGTAGCTCTTCACCTTCTTCACCTTTTGATTTCAGATATTCACAGAGACATCTCCAATGTAACACATTCTCAGCTGTTAAGTCTTCCAATGGAATCAGTTTTCTAAACAAAATCGAACAAAGACATAAATAAACTTGTGTCAAAGAGAACAAATGCACAGAAATATTAAAAAGTTAGAAATCATTATTAATTCCTAGGATGAAAATACAATACTGCCAAAGGTATTTCCCAAAGAAATACTTTAATATTGACAAAAATAACACTCTCTCTCTCTCTCTCTCTCTCGTGAGGACATAGAGCCCTCAAAGCCTCTCACTATGCTGCACTTCTCAATATTTTAAATCAAGGCAGTTCATGTCTATGCAGAAGGATTCTGCTCAGCCCTTCAACCCTCCCAGGGCAATCACCCAGGTACTTTCACTCTGTGAATCATCATTATTGGAAATGATGGAAAACTGAACTTCATGAATCTGCAGAAATGCAACAATTGCATTCAAATATTTTTTAACTTCTGTCTGGTCATTGTTTATTCTGTTCTTAGCACAAGACCTTCATATAATATATGAGTAGTGATCACAGTATGTCAAGTGCAAGAAGTAATCCAACTGCCAATTGCCAAGCATGGCAATTCATCTTCATTTTCACAACCAGAACATTAAGTTGTGCATTAATTCGACCTCAAAACAGAAGTTTTCTCTCTTTTCACTGCAGCAGTACTTTTCACTCTCTTGAATCCCATTCTAGTTGCAAACTAACAACAATTTTGGTTTTGTTTTAGGTCCCCCACATACAAAAAAACCAAAACAAACCTGAGCAACACGTAGATAAGACTGACCATTTGACAGCTTCTCATTAATCTGAGAGGTCTTTATTTAAAAGTAAATTTAACAAACAGAAACTACAGACTTCAAAAATCTAACCATTCATCATATTGATACTACATCACTCAAGTTGTAGTCAGAAACATAAATCAAATAAGCTCATTACAAGCTGAATAATTTAACTCCTAAAAATGTCATTTAGTCTAAAAGATTTATTTCTAAAAAAAAATTCTCAGCCCAGTCTTTCAGAGTGGAAGCCTCAATTTGTGCAGCATCAAAGACAGACTGAGAAGCTCATAACTATATAAAGTTCTCTTTTGAACCTCTTAAGATACTGGCACATTTCCAGAGGCTGTAAGAAAGTTATTTCACCATTACTGATAATTTTACAGCCAGACAGGCCCACGTCTATAGCTTTGGAGTACAATGCATAGAGCATCTACTGATTCCAAACCATCTGACATGCTACTACTAGACTGCAAGACACTTCATATGATATTATGCATTTCCCCCCCAAAAACACAGAATCTTTGCTATCACTTCTTAATCAGTGACAATTAGTCATTTAATTTTATTATCTGAGATCAGACTCCTACTACTGTTCAAAATCATTCCATTCTCATTGCCTCAATTAACTCAAGCTGTTTCTTCTCACACCTTCCTCTCCCCCTCAGCAATTGCCCCCTCAGCTTCAATTTCTAATTTTCTTCCCCTCTTCATTTTTACTTGATGGATCTTAATATTCATCATAATATCTTCTTCAAGGCTTAGGAACTCAGTCAAATTCTACAAAACACTAATTTAGGAAAAGACAACTAATACACCAAACTCTGCCAAGCTCTTAAAACAAGTAAAATACCTCCAAAACAAGACTGGCACATAAGCCCAGTAATTCCATTCTGATTGATTCCCCAAACAGTTCATGGATAACTGATCCAGCCCCAAACTGTGCTGTCTCTAGCTCAGCAAAAAAACATAGAAGTCAAAGAGTAATAGGAAATGTACAAGAAAGACCAGAAGTATTACTGAAAAGGAAAAATAATAGGAAAAAAAGGAGCTTTTCAGTACCCCATGTTAAAAGAAGAGAGGAAGTCAGTCGTGAGCATAAACTAGAACACTGCCTTTGTGGTAAACTGTACAGAACATAAAACAATTTAAGCTGTTAGTCTCATAAAAGCCTGTTTAACCAACTAATTTACTGTCTGCTTTTAGGATTTAAGAGAATGATTTTGGAGGCATTCTGGAAACAAGAAGTTGAAGACATTTCTTTTTCCCCTCTTCCTTATCTGGTACAATCATTTTCAGCTGGTGAATACAGATCTCTTAAGAAAGAAGAGAGCATATCCAAACACCAGGGAGGCAACACAGCTTACACTACAATAGCAGTTTTACCACAGCTAATAGTTACTCCGCTCCCCATTTAAATATAACCTTAATTTTACATTCTTATACAAAATATTCAGCTTTTGGAAGTGAAAAGTGCCCTGCATACCTGCTGTCAAGGCTTTTACAGTTCTGAACAATGTCATGAAGTGGGGATAATGAAAACAATGCATTTAGCACTGGGAAGGCCACTTCTGGGCAGTTTTCTATATCAAGTCGATGAAGCAACTCTAAAAGATCTCCTTCAGTGTATCGTAACCAGGCTTGAAGTAGCTTCTTCACTACCTCCTTAACAGCACCTGATAACACAGGAATTTAAACACTTTAAAACAGCAAAGGTCAAAAAATACTTCACAAATCATTTTTCTACAGAAAAAGAAAGAAAAGTTATTATACAGTTGAACTTAATGCTACCTTAAAAGAAAAAACCCAACTTTTTAAGTGTAGTCCTATACGGTGTCATGAGGAAAAGTACTACCTGTCATGTATGTGGATTATGCTTAAAGGCTGCATGGCAGTGGAGAGAAGAAATTATAAAAGAAATTAATAATCTCAGAGAAGGGAAAGAAAACATGTAGAGCTGTCTTTACAATATCAAAATGACTGATTAAAACAACAATTAACAGAATCCAAGGGAAAGACAAAAACCATGGAAGAAAAATTAGAATTGACTCTATTAAAAGCCCCCAATCCTCTGGATGTTAGAAAAATGTGAAAATTAATAGTATCCCCTGAGGATTGGGATGGTGATATTTGGGAAAGCCCTGATGAGAACACTGATGAGGAAGAATGGGACTTTGATGAAACAATTGGACCTCTAGCTCCTAAAGTGGAAGAGGTTACAGAAGTAAAAACGAGACCTATAATTAGAACTGAGGTGTCTGAAGGACCTCATGGAGGTCAGAGGAGGAACACAGTCAGTACTACTCCCTGGGACACCCTGCAATTGGCAAATCTACAGGAAAAATATGGACCAAAACCAGGGATGTCAAAGCCTGAGTATTTGTGGAGAGCTTCTCTAACAAACTTGGTCTGAAGCTCCCACTCTGCCCCTGCCACACAGCGTAAGAAAGCACACAGCCGATTCTCTCTTCCTTTCCTGTCAAGAACATGCCAAGATGATCCCCACCAGCCAAAAGGAAAGGTAGATCAATAAAAAACACATGTATGCATAACACACTTCAAAGAGCTCTACTTAGCAATGAACACAGTATTTTAATCTTGGTCCCTAAGTGAATATCCACATAGACCCTAATTCTCACAATGCCCAAGCAGCACATCACTAAGCAAGGAAAAGTCTCAGAGTAAAATTCAACAGGGCTTAGTACAGACTTTCCAAACAAAGTATACAGATTACACATTAGCCCTTGATCAAGTTGGCAGCTTTTATTGTGAAATTCATATATACAATTGCTACTGCTGAAAAAAGGAGAAAAAAACCCCAGTGTTCTATGCAGACAGGCCAAGACTGTCTCGCTCAGATGCATTTGGGCTTTTGATCTTTTGGCAACAACACCACACACAATTATGGGTACATTCTGAATGGCTCTTTATATAAAGTGATACAGTACACAAGACATTGAAAAGAATAAAGCTGCTCCATGATGAAATGCATAAGGGTCAAGCAAGGATTCATTAAAAGATAATTCAAAGTAGTTAAACAAAAAACTAACCAGCTGAGAAGATTTCTCTCTGTAAGCACATAGGAAACATTTTGACACTAATATTAATGTTCACATTTCAATTCTTTAATATATTTATTAGTTACAAAAATATCTATAATTAAACGTTTCCAAATACACCAAATTAAATAACTACATGTTTCTACTTCTGTGTTTAATTACATTACTGGTTTTACTTTTAATAACATTTCATCCTATTTTAGAGCCCAGTGGCTTTCAGATTTTTTGGAAGTTCTTTCTGGTTTGTCCACTCTAAGTGGACAGGAAAACCAAAGCAGCAAGCAGATATCTTGTGCTTAAACATTTCCTGGTACCTCATTACTTTGAGCTCCTTATTACTGCCATCACAGCTTCCACATAAACCATCCTCAACACATCAAAGTATTGTCTCTTAAACATGTGTATTAAGATATTGAAGGAGATTGTCTCTTACCAGATCTGTCATTAAGTCCTTGTTGCAGCAATTTTACTCTCTGTGCTATTGACAGAGCTCTTATGTGAACTTTTTCTGCCAAAACCTTAAAAAGAGTTAAGACATTAAAATACACTTCTACAAATGGTAACAACTGAATCCATTAACTACCTGAGGTTTTACACTCCCACTTTTATCCATCCACAGAAATCCTAAATCAATAAAAGCCTGTGATACCTATACCATTAGCACTGTATCAATACATTAACCTGCAGATCCTCATGCAGGATGAAGAAAATGTAAAATAAAGACTAAAGGTAACACATAAGCTTAGAAGCTCATCAGCTCTGCTTGAATGCCTCACCTGCATATGAAAACTATCCTCTCAGTTTAAAGCACCAAGGGCAATGAATACCTACAATAAATTATGGAAGCATGTTCTTTTCTTAAAGACTACTGATTCAGATTCAGTTAAAAAAGAGAATTTAAGTTAAGAAAAAGCAGAAGATGGTTCTGTGTGAAAAAACCTGAACGTTTTGTTTGAAGATCTTGCCTGCAATGCCTGCATAACAAAGAGACAGGTTAGCATACGCTCCTGCCCTTACCTCCCTACGTGTAAACATCAGTAACAGACATGACTTCTCCAAACTGAAATACCAAAAACATGCAATTTTTACACTGCTACTGCTGTGATCCTATCTTGACTTAATTATCTATTATGAAATAGCAGGGAACAAAATTTTCTTCATAAACCTCAGAAAACACATAAGTAGAAAACAACAGCTTGCATACAAAATTTATACTTTTACTGTCTGATCCTGGAGGGACAAGTTCTATCACAAAAGCAATTTCTATCCAGCAAGTTGTGCAGTTAATTTCAGGGGTTTTAACTTGAAAACTTATATTCAGTCACTCCCCCTCAAAATTCTGGCCAGTGCAAATAAATTTACTGTCCTTAGTGTTTAACCAGAGAAATATAAGAAACCATTTAAAGCCTTTTTCCCAAGTCAGTCTTTGCAATTAATGTTAAGTGATCCAATTTACCCCATATGCCAACTTCCTGACACCTTCCTTTACATCCATAATGCGACCCACGATTACTGGCAAAGTCCTTGCTGATGGAGCAATACACGACAGCACTGCACGTCTGACTTCTGAGTTTAAATCATTTTCCAGCAATGTGTTGTAAACTGAAAATGAAACAGTCACAATAATGTTTTGGTAACAGTTTGAGACATTATAGAAAAACAGAAAATACTAACAACAACAAAAAAAACCCCAAACAAAAACCCAAACAAACAAAACCAACCAAACAAAAAACCCCCAACAGCTATTATTAAAACCTCTCTCCTGTCTCTGCAGAGCTGATACAAATTTAGGAAACAGTTTGTGTCCTGCGTTGCAGGGGGGAGGGTATCCACGGTATGTATTCTATTATCATCTCCACAAGCTGTTAAAGCAGGTGGGGCAGTGATCGTTATCACCTTGTCCCTCCCTCAGGGCAATCCTGATGGCTCCCTCAGGGGGCTGTCTCTGATTAACGGGCTGTCAAGGACCCACGCAGGACACATCCTCCCAGTGATCCTTATCGACTTGTCCCATGGTGAGGTGACTCACCCCAGGGGTGGGGAGCCAAACATGCTCACAGGGATATAAACTGGGGTTTGGACCAGCACAGGGAGCCCTTTGCCTGCTGGATTCCCAGAGGACAAGAGCTGCTGCTTGGACCTTCGGGAGAGAGCAGGATCTGCGGGATCACTGCTCCAACAAACCCATCACTCCAGGAGGTCTGCAGCCACCATTTAATCGGACTACTGCTACACCCTGACTGACAGGGTGTCAGGTTACTTTCTGACTCTGTCAGGTTATTTTCTGACTCTTGTCAGTTTTAGGTTTTTTTTACTGTTGCATTTGTGTTGTTTTGTTGTGTTGTTCATATTAAATTGTACTTGTGACTCAGAGTCTCTCACCGGTTTGCTTTTCAAACCAGCACAGTTAGGGGTCACAACCCCAAAATTTTATGGCAGTTGCAAGCTGAGCTATGATCTCAAAAGAAATTCAACAACAAAAATAATGTTTGCAATCATAAGTAGGAACTTCAGTTAACAACTCTACGAACTGCTACTCTAGATCCCAACCATAAATAACCATTTTGTCATTTACTGGGCAAAACCCAAAAGGTTCCAGATGTTGGCTCCTTTAGCCCTCTATTCATGAGTTCTACATCCTTATTACCTTTGAGGCAGATCCTCAAATTTTCCTGTAAATAGAAAACTGCAGTCTCCATTAAGCCTACCAAAACTCATATAGTAAATCTCACAAAATGCTTTTTTGTTATATTCTTGACCCTTGTTCAAAATTAAAAGGAACTACAAAATTCATTTCATCAGAGCATACATAAATTCATCTACTTGCTCTGTGAGACAATGTTTAGCCATGAAATTTATGTACTTCTAAATGAGCAACTTATGAACACTTAGAAAATAAAATTTCAAAAGAAGGAACCTTAACAACAGAAACCCTCAACTCATTCTTCAAAAAACACAATACGAAAAGTTTAATTGGGGCACAATTTACATAACAGCCATGCTGGTACAGACCTACACTGTCCATCTTGAGGTAAGGGAAGCAGAAGTTTAGTCAAGGATCATATAGTACACAAAGAAGTCCACAAACAGCATCAAGACACTTGTCTTGCAGAGATGCTGATCTCTTACAGAAAGCTGTCATTTGAGACAAAATACAGTTTGTCTATAATTATCTTTAGTCTAAGAGTTTTTGGACTAATTCAATTCAATTAACACCACAAGAGTCCTTAGAGGGCAAGATTTGAATAACCATGTATCCTATCTCCACCCCAGTTGGCAACACATTGTTCTCAGCATCCTGCTACAGTCAGTGCACAGAGCAGCCTCAGCCCATTATGATTGTCTACCAGATCTCTCTTTCAAGCAGTTGTGTCTTTTCCCCCTTAAACATACACAACTCTTGCACCTACAACTTCCTCTGGCAAAAAGTTCCACAGTTTACAAATGGATTACAAGAACACTAAGATTCATTTGCTCAGTGCTTAAAAATAAGTTTAAAAATGCTTTAAAGTAATGCAAAAATCAACAAATATTCCTAAACAAAAGAAAAAGTCCAATACTACTTACTAGTAACAACAGGGCAGTTTACATCCGTAGGATCCTGAAGTCTTGACAGGGCCAAGACAGCCTGAATCCTCACACTGGAAAATTTATCTTTAAGTCTAGTCAGCATAGCTTCATTGATTTTATCAAAGAGGTCATCATCAATCTGGGCATCCTCAGGCATGTTTCCCAAAATCTTGTTAAGAAGCTGACATGCTCGAAACCTGACTACATGGCTGTTTGCATTGTGAGACTTGGGGAGAGAAAATAACAAGACTTCTTATAATCACATTTTTCTCATTTCCAACATTAACATTCCAACTATTAACATGCACACGTAAGCAGCTAATATTCCATGGAGTAAATGAAACATGCACTTCCATATCTCAAAAGCTGTGCCTGTGTAACTTTTTAATAAGATCAAAAATGTGGAAAACAACAATGGCCCATTGCCTGTATCAGTCACAGGGGAAGCAGCAGGCTCACCACTCTGTGCAGCCTGCACTGCATTAGCTAACTTACTGCTCTTCCTCCATAAAACATTAGAAGAAAGAAGACTTGAGCAATGATGACTAGTGCTCTTGGTCTGATCCATAATCTTCCCATGACAAAAGTCTAGTTTAAGTAAACGTAATTCTGTTTGTGTGTTCATGCTATAGGAACTCTTGACCTTTCCATGCAGTCCTTGCAGTAAGCAGAAAGGAATAACACATGACAACCTCTACTTGTATGGAAGATGTTATCATAGAATCATAGAATTTAGGGGTTGGAATGGACCTTACAGACCATCTAGTCCCAACCCCCTATGCCCTGGGACACCTCCCCACTAGAGCAGGTTGCTCATCCTGGCCTTGAACATTGCTAGGGTTGGGGCAGCCACCACATCCCTGGGCAACCTGTTCCAATGTCTCACACCCTTATAGTAAAAAACTTTTTTCTAATATCCAACCTAGACTTTCCCTCCTACGGTGTGAACCCATTACCCCTTGTCCTATCACTGTAGTTCCTAACAGAGTCCCCCTCCAGCTCCTTGTAGGCCCTTCAGATATTGAAAAGTTGCTATGAGGTCTCCATGCAGCCTTCTCCAGGCTGAACAGCCACAGCTACCTCAGCCTGTCTTCACAGGGGAGATGCTCCAGGCCTCTTAGCAACTTCCTGACCTCCTCTGGACTTGTTCCAACAGTTCCACATCCTTCTTCTGTTGAGGACACCAGAACTGCACACAGTATTCCAGGGGAAGGTCTCACAAGAGCACTGTTTCTCACTATTTCTCATTATCAAAGAAACAGTATAAATCAATTTCCACAACTTCACACTTAGAAATGCACTTACAGTAAAAGCCATAGCAACACATCTGACAGACAAAGGAGCACAGTTCACATTATCTCAAAGGCCTAGCTTGTTGGGTTATTGTGTGGGGTGTAATGGGTTTTTTTTTGGGCTGGTGTTACTCATAAAGCACTAGCTGTGCCTTGCTTCCACTTTTTCAGTTCTAGTTTGTAAGTATCATCTCCACCAAATCCTCTCCACTTCAATAAGTTCCCATTTGTTATGGTGAACATGTGATAAAAAGTGTTGCTGTACCTCCAGCAGAAATTTAAACACATAACTCAGAAGTAAATTTTCTTCTTCTTCCTCCTCACTACCATGTTTGTTCTCAGTAACAAACTTAGCCACGAAATCGATCACTTGCTCCACAGCTGGTTCCCGTCTGTAGACTACCATAGCATACTTGAGGAAATGGATGAACTTTTCATGGAACTCCTCTTTATCCTCCAGCTGGGAGAAAAAGAAAAAAAACAACCAAATAATAGAAAAATGAAATTACAACAAAAGATAACTACCTGGGGATAAAATAGAACAATTAAATGACAGCAAAAAGTAAATACCTGGGAAAAAATAGAACAATTAAATGACAACAAAAGATAACTACCTGGGGAAAATATAGAACAATTAAATGACAACAAAAGGTAACTTACCTGGTTCACTTTTCAAGAGCTGTACCATGGAAAAACAAAATAAATGGGCTTATAACTGACAGCTTCCATTTGAATTCCTCACAACAGCCAGGGCACACTCCACTGAGCACTTTGCTTTAACCCCAGGGCAGGCACAAATCCTGAGCTGAGCTCTGCAGCAGATTAAGGCGAGCTCCAGAGTTCAGCTTTCCCTGCTGACAGGTTTCAGAACGCCAGATCGACACCCGCGCCCACCACTGCTCCGCGTCGCACCCAACACCTCCCAGCAGCATCACCCCTGCCTGGCTGTTCCACAGCCACAGCGGCGGCAGACAGCTTACACAACAACCCTGCCCTCCTTTTTTGGGAAAAACAGAGTAGGTTTGGGGCAGAATTTGTGTTCAATCTCGAGGTTCTCCCGAGCACGGAGGCTCCGTCCATCACCCCTGCCTGGCTGTTCCACAGCCACAGCGGCGGCAGACAGCTTACACAACAACCCTGCCCTCCTTTTTTGGGAAAAACAGAGTAGGTTTGGGGCAGAATTTGTGTTCAATCTCGAGGTTCTCCCGAGCCCGGAGGCCCCGTCCCCACCGCGCCGCCCAGAGCGAAGCAGCCTCCGCGCGGCGGCAGTACCTGAGCGTAGGTGTTCTTCAGAGACACGACGAGCTTCGCCTGGTTCTGGCGAGGCTTCTGCGCCAGCTGAAAGGCTTCCTGGAGCTGCAGAGTGTCCCTCATGGCCGCGGACACAAAGCCCAGAGCCGGCACCGCCGCGCAACGGCCGCGCCCGCTTCATACCTGAGCGTAGGTGTTCTTCAGAGACACGACGAGCTTCGCCTGGTTCTGGCGAGGCTTCTGCGCCAGCTGAAAGGCTTCCTGGAGCTGCAGAGTGTCCCTCATGGCCGCGGACACAAAGCCCAGAGCCGGCACCGCCGCGCAACGGCCGCGCCCGCTTCA